ATAAAGCTCGGCGTGCAGACTGTGTGGCCCCTCTTCCCGTCAAGCAAGCAGCTGCTCACTTACAAAACGCTGCTCACTGCTGCTCAGTGAGTCGTAAACACAGAAGTTTAGCCTGCTCAACTGTTCCCCCAGCATGGACCCTACACCAGTTCCTATCGACAACGACTCAGAGCGACCCGTCAGGGGCGTCCTGCCCTTCTCAACATTTAAGGTACAGTGTTTGTGTCTGTGTTGGCGCGCCATGGTCCCTCCGTGGCGCACCTGGCGCACCCCTGAAGCACGCCTGTTGGTTCAGCCTTGGCGACCAAATGCAGGTGCAGTGGACCTAGAGGGGGAGGTGACCCTCGGTGTTATGGGGCACTGGTTTTTCTCCAGTAGGTGGCTGTTATTTGAAGCACAATTGGGAGGAGGCCTGTCCACCCCCCCACCTCCCCCATCTGCTCAGCCCTGTACCTTAAGCTCCCTCACCCAGTCGACGTGAGGTCTGCTGCTTGGGCGACTTCTGTTGTGCCGTTAATTATTATTTATGTTCTTTATATAAGGGCTTCTTTACAGTCTGACTGTTAGACATGGCATGCTTCGTCACGCTACAATATTTACTGTAATTTTACCTTTGCTTTTGCCCCATGCCTATGTTTATATATTGGGTAGTGCTGTTATTGTTGTTTCAGGACATTTAATGCTCAAGCCAGCTCCTATTTAGTGCTGTTGTTTTACTCTACTCTAAACGCTGGCTATATAAATTTTTATATTATTGTCCTTCAGTTACAATGTGTTATGCCTCGCAATTTATTTATCCGCAATTTATTTATCTTCGACCCGTGATGCGGGTCCAAGCCTCTTGCTGTTACCTTTCTTGGGCTTGCAACTACCTTTTGTTTCTCTCTGCAATTTATTATTACAATTTATGCATTGGCCTCGTGCATGTTTTATTAACTTATTAAAACTCTTGCTTCTTGTATTGAGTTATTTATTAAGTAAAGTAACCTAGGTTGTGCTAGTTCCTGAGTTACAAGCCTCATGCCTTTGACTTTAAGATTATCTTGGTATTGCGTACCATTAATTTACCTTAATTTTTTACTGCAATTTATGCAGGTCAAGCTGCATGTTATTTACGCTTACTGGTTTTGCAATTGTGATTGTTTAACTATTGTTTGCCATTAAGTTATTAAGTAACTCGGCTAGGCTGTGATAGGCGCAGAGTATGGCCCCCACCCCCCTTGCCTCTTGCTTTAAGGTTACTGGCCCAGCATTTACGTTTAGTTACATCAGCTAATTATTCCCGCAAATTATGCAGCGTCTTGCTGCATGTGTATTTATTTATTACTGGTTTACAATTATGTTTGTTTAACTTTTGCTTATTGCTTTTAAGTTATTAGGTAAAGTCAGCTAGGTTATGCTAGCTGCTGTGTCACAGGCCTCCGGCCCCTAGCTTTAAGTTTTCATGGACTTGTATTTTCCATAAGTTTCCTTAATTTATTAATGAATTTTATGCAGTGTCAAGCTGCATGTTTTCTTTTGCTGGTTTTATATTTATGTTTGTTTAACTTTTGCTTATTGCCTTTAAGTTATTATGTAAAGTCAGCTAGGATGTGATAGTTGCAGGGACCGGGCCCCTTGCCTCTTGCTTTAAGTTTATTCTGGCCCTGCATTTACGTTTAGTTTCCTCAGCAAATTTCCCGCATTTTCATCGCTCTTGCTGCATGTTTTTACTTTACTGGTTTACAATTATGTTTGTTTAACTTATGCTTCACCTTTAAGTTAAGTAGAGTCAGCTAGGATGTACTAGACGCTGTGTTTGGGCCTCATGCCTCTCCCTTTAAGTTTATCTTGGACTCGTATTATGATTAGTTCCATCAGCAATTTATTGCTAGTTATGCATTGCCTAAGTGCATGTTATTTTACTTACCGTTTTACCTTTATACTTGTTTTCTTGACTTTGTCATTAAGTTATTAAGTTCTGACAGCTGGACAGTACCAATTTCGTTTACCAGTACCAGTAAACGTTTCCAGTCGTTTTGTCTGCCCGGTGTAGCCCGAAAGAATCTGCAGCCTCCCGGCTGCTGGTTTCTCCAGACATGTTGTCTGCCCGGTGTAGCACGGATGTCACTGTGGCCTCCCAGGCTGCTGGTAATCCAGACATGTTGTCTGCCCGGTCTAGCCCGAAAGATACCGCGGCTTCCCAGGTCGCTGGTTTATCCAGACGTTTTGTCTGCCCAATGTAGCCAGAAAGGTTGTCAGAGCCGCTGCCGTCTTCGCTGTCTGCGTTCTGGGGTCGATGTCCAGCCGACGTTCTTCCTGTGATGAGTTAAGCCGGCGATGTTATTCAGGTATCATATTTATATTGGTCATATAAATATGCGGCCTTCCAGGTCGCTGGTATATCCAGACGTGTTGTCTGCCCGGTGTAGCCCGGAAGATACTGCGGCCTCCCAGGCCGCTGGTTTCCCCAGACGTTTTGTCTGCCCGGTGTAGCCCGGAAGGTTTTCACAGCCACTGACGTCTTAGCTGCCTTCGTTCAGGGGTTGATGTCCGGCCATCGTTCTTCCCGCGACGTGTCACTGTGTTCTAGCGACCGTGCTCGGTTGGGTCTGTTGCAGCTGGTCCAGCCGTGTGCCCTAGTGTCCGAGCCGCCACTCTCTTCCTACGTTGTTGCTCAATTTTGGTGTCCAGCTGCTGCAGCTGTTGGTGTTCTGGCTGCCGACATTCCCGGCAGTCGGTATTCTAGCTGCTGTGGGTACAGCTGTTGCTGTCCCAGCTTGCTGCTGTTCAGGTGGAACATGGTCCAGCTGCTGGCGTTCCAGCGGTTGTTGGACCAGCTCCCATGCTACGGCTGAAGTTGTTCCTGATGTTCCAGTTGAAGCGGTCCCAACTGATAATGCCCATCCTACTGCGTTCCAGCTCCCAAGGCTCCAGCTACCGACGTGCCAGCCCCCGAAGTTCCAGCTGAATCGTTCCAGCTGAATCGTTCCAGCCGACGTTGTGCCTATTAGCACTCCTTTCAGTTTATTGTATTTGATTGTAATTTATTTCAGCTTCATGCATTAATCCCGTTTTCTCTAAGAGTTATATTCCAGCATTATTTTGAGCACGATCTGTTTTGCAGTCGCACTTCCCTTACTGCTGCAGTTTCCCCCTTGGCTCGTTGCCGCTAATTTTGTATCTTCGGCAGCGGCCGAAGATACTCTCCACTCCCCTGTTGGCTCCCAGGTTCTGTATGGTCCCTAATTGTCTTGCAGTTGGACTTCTACTTATAACTGAAGTTTTCCCTGGTGGCCAGTTGCCACTATTTATTTATCTTTGGCAGATGTTGATGCACCAGTTGCCAATGTCCAGCTGCAGGTGTTCCAGCTGCTGATGTTCAGAGGCAGGATTTTACAGTTTACATTTGGCAACTGTTGTTTGTTAAGCCCTTATTTTGCCCTTGTTGACCACTAGTGTTCGTGTTGTGCATGCTACGTTATTGTTGGTTTGTTAAGGTTAGGGCTTCCCTGCTTACTTCCTCCTCCCCAGTGTGGGACATTTACTTATTTATCTATTTATACAGTGATTTCTATGTTGTTCTTGACCTTACTCTTGTCATTTCCAGTTTGCACCTGTTAGGTGATGCTTTAAATTTATTATTTAACAAATTTAATGTTCACGTATTGGATTTATCAATGACAGCCCTCGGTGGGGGAAAAAAAAAAAAAAGGTATTATTAATACTGCTCATATTATTACGGTTAACCTGCTTTTATTTGTATTTTGAGTTATTCTGGGTTCTTTCTGCTACTATATTATTGTTTTAAGCCTACTTGGCGTATGGTCTTTGGTTGCATCGGTGGAGTTGGCTGGGTTATCCTCCACTCGTTACTATTTGCTATTGATGTTAGTTATAGTCACTTTTAGTGTTAATGATCTCGTGCCAATTCTCCTTTTGGCTTCTGGCCTCGCCTAACGCCATGAATGTTGTTCCTACTGTATCATACTATTACTTATTTAAGTTCTTTATTATTAGGTCCGGGTTCTAGTCGCCTGCCTTCTACCCTCCCTCTGCTTTACTTGTTATCGTTTTCTCTGGCATTTTTTCGCCATGCCCTTGGTCGGCCCCGTACTAGGCCCATTAGCTGGGCCAGTCCATTACGCCCTTAGCCGGGACCCCTGTGGAGCCCTTAGCTGGGCGGGCCCGCCCTGTTAGCGGGCTAATGGTCCTGCAACCTAGTACTTTGGAAGGAGTATTTTGTGCTTTTCCCTATCCTTCTAGTGCTTATGTCTCTCTTTTACATTTTCTTAGTGAAAACTTCGTTATATTTGTAAGGTACTATTTATTGCTTATAAATATATATATATGTATATATTCATTAGTTGCTATACTAATTTATAGTACTCATTCATTTTATTATTCCCATCTCGTCCGTATTAATTTATTATGGGTCTGGGAGTGGGTTTACTCTTTTTGTCCTTATTTCTGTTATATTACTATATTAATTACATTAATTATTTCACATTTATGGATCCCTAGCCTTCCTGGTGTCCATTTCACTTTGCCTCAGATCTCCAGATCTTGAAGTTCTTGGGGTACTGCTGCTCGCAGAATGCTCATTGACACTCCAAGACTGAACTCATTTACGCCTCTTAAGGCAGTTTCTTAGGATAACTATCCAGCTCTAACATGCTTTCGAAGGGCCAACATACAATGGAGATCACTGTAACGGACTCGGTTACCATCCTTATAATTTGTGTTCGTGTCACTCTGGACGCAAGGATGTTGCAGTTATGCCTTAAGACCTGTTTCTTATATTTGATTTATGATTTGATTTATATATTGATTTGATATTATATACATATTGGTCATATAAATATTGATTATGTTGGGATGTTCTATTGTTTTATATTACTCTATTGGATTATTTTGAAATGAATTATTACTTGCTAGATCCCTCCCCCTGGATTAACTTCTGCGTCACGTTCATACTGCATGCCCGTTTCTGCCCACCCTTACTGCCTTAATACTTCCAGAACCGACTACGGAAGGCGCACAAGGTACACCACTGATGAGCAAGGAAAAGGAATGGAGCCGAGGGCAGACTACTGCACCCATGAGGTCGACACCACCCTCACTGCTGGGGGGCAGGCCGCAGCGACAACAACGGACACAGGGTCGACCCTGGGGAGTCGGCCTCGGTGAAGGCGGCTTCCTGCTTCCCACACCCGCCCTGGGGCCGGCCTTTCAGGCTTGGTCCCTGTGAGGGCAGGCTCCAGCAATGAACAGTTTTACGACATCGTGCACAGCACGAAAGTACTTGGGTGTACTTTCCCCTGCTGTACGATCACCTCACAAGGACATTGCACGGGGGAGGGGGGGACCCCTTGCCCTCTACGCTCTGGATCGTCGCGATGATGCCCGTTGGCCTCACCAAGGACGCTGTTTAACTTGTAGTATGTTAACTGCCTAGTAGAACAGCTAGTTTAACTTTAACTGTAAACAGTTTAACTGCCTAGTAGATCGGGTTTGGTCCCTTTGTCAGTCGGGAGGAACCTGGTGGTTTTCATTGCCCTCTCCTGGGATGCGGGCACGGTTGCTGTCACAGGAACAAGTGATCATATCCCTAGTTAAAGGTTGGCGAGGCACACTTGCCTTGCAAGGTCTAGTTGGTGGGCTCATGCCTCTATGCCCATATGGCACCTCACGTTGGCTTCAGCAAAGAAGCAGTTTCACTTGTAGCATCTGTCTAGTAGACCCGGTTTGGTAACTTTTTCAGTCAGGGAAACCTGTCACAGGCAAGGTTACAGCCACTGCACGAGTAGTCACGTTCCTAGTTACAGCGGCCAGCCGCTGCATTCGCCCTTCGGGGTTGGGGGTTCCGCGCCGCTGGCCCTCGCGGGATTGGGGGTGCTCCGCCGGAACCCCCAAAGTGATAAGCCTGCAGATAGCTAAGAAATATTCCCATGAATTGTAATTAGTGTAATTAAATTAAAGCAACTTACATTTACTACCTATAGATGTAGTTATTAATTGTAATTGATTTAATACTTTATCATTATAAGGATTATTCATTATAATTATTCTTTAATACTTTATTGTTATGCACTAGGCAATAATTATTTATCATTCACCCTAATTAGCTATTTGATTCATTAAAAATAATTGCTTATCATTATACTATTTGTTATTATTATTATTTATTATATAATAATTAAGTTATTATTTATTAATTTATTAATTTATTATATATTATTTACCATTATAAAATAAACAAGTCCCCAATCTGAGCACGTTTTCTTCCAACCTCAGAAAAAAGAGGGAGAGGCAGAGGGAGTAGGAGGTAGAAGGGTAGATAAGTAGAAATAGAAAAGTAAAGTGCTGCCACCATCCATTCTAGACAGTACATACAAGACAAGGAATGGAACCTGTCTGTATCAAAAGATGTTATTAGCATGTGTCGACTGGAATCATGTTCCAGGCAAGATTCTTTTAGTCCATAACTCAAGAGTACTCTACATTCTAGTTTGCCAAATATCAGAAATTCCAAGATCTCGGGAACACAATTAAAATCAAATTAAAAGTAACTGAATCAAGTATTTATTTAGCATTGATAAATATCAGAATTCAAGTAATCGAACTGAAGGTTCATTACGTTCAGATAAACAATGTGAGCCACCACACAGAACTTTGAGAGTCACTACAGCTGTCTGCCCCTAGAAATCACACAACACTAGTAAACACGACTAAGTCACCATAACGTTCACTCACTGAGGACTGAACCTAAGTTGAATATAGAGGGGGGGATGGTCTGCAGTTCACAGGCAGAGTCACCCCCTCCCCCCGACAGCCTATCTCGGCGGCTGTCTTCTGCCCTGCTCTGCTGTGCTGTCTCTGTTGTCCTCTCGCTTATTCCTGTCGAATCTACAGCTCCCCGAGTATTTGGGGACCAACTAGCTAACTCCGCCCACAAGTAGATAGCCTTAGGCCCTCTACCAAGCCACTCCTTAAACGTCGGCTTGTTTGACGGACCTACCCGGCTATCAGGCTACAATTATCAGATTAGCAGAGGAAAGGTGAAATTTGCACGAGCTGACCTCAGGTCGACTTGGTGTCAAGTTTCTTAATTCCTAGGGGCCGCCAGCCTGGCGCCTTTCAGAACTTGTCATGTACTCATGTATTCTGTGTATATATTAAACACACACTAAACAAAACACCTTTACGGTGTTACAATCTGTATCAGTAAGCAAATTTTGGATAGATGCAGGGAGCGCTGCCCTGCACCTGCAAATTTTGGATACTTTCCTAAGATGTCCTTCCTCAGTTGCTTTTGTGTCGCCAGCGCTCCTGTCGTGTTTAGGGCTAAGAAACTGAGCACTCTCAAAGGTAACATACCATTGGCCTTACTCCTACCACTGAAATAGTGAAATGGCTTTGGCTAGGTTACGTGTTGGCTAAACACGTTTAACTCTTGGACGTGCATAATGGAGCGCCGCCATCCACCTTTCTGTCCAAACTGTATTGTCTCGCTTAGTCCTGAACCTCCTTATGGAATGTCCAGATTTTCAGGATGATCGTGTCTTGTTTTCCTAATGTTACTCGATCGAATCCTTGGCGAATCCCTTCTGGCAAGGAGGATTAACTAGGTGCCAATCCTTAACTGTAGCCTCTGTTCACCGAGCAGTGGACGACTATCACCTGGTTGTTAAACAATTTGGCGGGTCGTATTCCAAGGAAAAATTAGTATTAAGGACTTGCCCGAAACGCTATACAGTACGTGCTGGTGGCTACAAAAGAATGTATGAACTCTTGTATATAAATAAATAAAATACCTTTGATATTGCACGCTTTGGTGCCTACTTTTGATAATTAATTATGGTGCTTTAATTTTTACTAATACGTTGCATATTTTACAGATTGACTAAAAAAAAAATTAACGTACCAGATTAGTTAATATGTATGGATGAGATGTCCTTCCCCCTATATGAATGGGGGGGTCCTCCCTCCACCCATAGGATGGGTTGTCCTCCCTAAGGATAGGGTGTCCTTCCCCATGAATGGGGTATTCCGGTAATGAGAGGCCCAAGAACTGGTGGGTAACATATTCAAAGTGGCGGGGTCCATCTGGCCCCCAACTCCCGTAGGGGCGGGACATAACTACAGCGATATGGAAGGAAACCTGAAAGGTGTCCACCTCAGTGTACAGTAGTGGTACAGGTAGTGGACGTGTACGCTCTCTTGCCTGTCTGGGCTCTGGCTGTCCGTCAGTACTAGTCTGTCCTTTCTATACACTGTACTCCTTCACTATAGCAGCCCTACATCACTATAGTAGTCCTGCGTCACTACAGCAATCCTGCATCACTACAGGAGTCCTGCATTATTTGTCACTACAGCTGCCAGACTACAGTAAGTTTTAACATTTTCTTAAATATTACAAATGAGTGTTGTCTTTACATGGCTGAAATTGACGTAACGGTCACTATTAACAGTTACGTGTTGGAGTGCCCCATGGTTATGAATGGCCCTGTAATAAATATATAATACCTTTGATATTGCTCGCTTTGGTGCCTGCTTTTGATAATTATGGTAAGTATTTATAGTAATTATGGTTAATTATTATAATTATGAATTGTTCCCTTGGTTATGAATGGTACCCATGGTTATGGATGGTTCCCCATGGTTATTGATGGTTCCCCATGCTTATGAATGGTTGCCCATGGTTTTGGATAGTTCCAAGTGGTTATGGATGATAGCCATGGTTCTGGATGTTTCTCTATGGTTATAGGTGGTTTCCCCATGATCATAGTTGGTTTTCTATGATTATGGATGGTTCCCTGTGGTTATAGAACTCACATGTTTATGGATGGTCCCCATGGTTATAGAACTCACATGTTTATGGATGGTCCCCATGGTTATGGATGGTCCCCATGGTTATAGAACTCACATGGTTATGGATGGTCCCCCATGGTTATAGAACTCACATGTTTATGGATGGTCCCCATGGTTATAGAACTCACATGTTTATGAATGGTCCCCATGGTTATAGAACTCACATGTTTATGGATGGTTACCATGGTTATAGAACTCACATGGTTATGGATGGTCCCCATGGTTATAGAACTCACATGGTTATGGATGGTCCCCCATGGTTATAGAACTCACATGTTTATGGATAGTTACCATGGTTATAGAACTCACATGTTTATGGATGGTCCCATGGTTATAGAACTCACATGTTTATGGATGGTTACCATGGTTATAGAACTCACATGTTTGTTTATGGATGGTTCCCATGGTTATAGAACTCATGTTTATGGATGGTCCCCCATGGTTATAGAACTCACATGTTTATGGATGGTTACCATGGTTATAGAACTCATGTTTATGGATGGTTACCATGGTTATAGAACTCACATGTTTATGGATGGTTACCATGGGTTATGGAACTCACATGTTTATGAATGGTCCCCATGGTTATAGAACTCACATGTTTATGGATGGTTACCATGGTTATAGAACTCACATGTTTATGGATGGTTACCATGGTTATAGAACTCACATGTTTATGGATGGTCCTCATGGTTATAGAACTCACATGTTTATGGATGGTTACCATGGTTATAGAACTCACATGTTTATGGATGGTCCCCCATGGTTATAGAACTCACATGTTTATGAATGGTTCCCATGGTTATAGAACTCACATGTTTATGGATAGTTACCATGGTTATAGAACTCACATGTTTATGGATGGTCCCATGGTTATAGAACTCACATGTTTATGGATGGTTACCATGGTTATAGAACTCACATGTTTGTTTATGGATGGTTCCCATGGTTATAGAACTCATGTTTATGGATGGTCCCCCATGGTTATAGAACTCACATGTTTATGGATGGTTACCATGGTTATAGAACTCATGTTTATGGATGGTTACCATGGTTATAGAACTCACATGTTTATGGATGTTTATGGAACTCACATGGAATGGTCCCCATGGTTATAGAACTCACATGTTTATGGATGGTTACCATGGTTATAGAACTCACATGTTTATGGATGGTCCTCATGGTTATAGAACTCACATGTTTATGGATGGTTACCATGGTTATAGAACTCACATGTTTATGGATGGTCCCCCATGGTTATAGAACTCACATGTTTATGAATGGTTCCCATGGTTATAGAACTCACATGTTTATGGATGGTTACCATGGTTATAGAACTGGTTACCATGGTTATAGAACTCACATGTTTATGGATGGTCCCCATGGTTATAAAACTCATATGTTTATGGATGGTCCCCATGGTTATAGAACTCACATGTTTATGAATGGTTCCCATGGTTATAGAACTCACATGTTTATGGATGGTTACCATGGTTATAGAACTGGTTACCATGGTCATAAAACTCACATGTTTATGGATGGTCCCCATGGTTATAAAACTCATATGTTTATGGATGGTCCCCATGGTTATAAAACTCATATGTTTATGGATGGTCCCTATGGTTTCGGGAGCCGGTCGGCCGAGCGGACAGCATGCGGGACTTGTGATCCTGTGGTCCTGGGTTCGATCCCGGGCGCCGGCGAGAAACAATGGGCAGAGTTTCTTTCACCCTATGCCTCTGTTACCTAGCAGTAAAATAGGTACCTGGGTGTTAGTCAGCTGTCACTGGCTGCTTCCTGGGGGTGGAGGCCTGGTCGAGGACCGGGCCGCGGGGACACTAAAAAGCCCCGAAATCATCTCAAGATAACCTCAAGATATGGTATAGAACTCACATGGTTTTGGATGGTCCCATGTTTATGGATAATTCAAATGGTATTTATGGTATCAATAGGATGGGTGGTATCCATGGTTATGTATGGGAACCCCCCCCCCCCCCCAATGATTATGGGAGATTTCAGTGCTAATGTGTTTTCCCTTGGTTATTGTTGGTCCCCATTGTGTTGGAAGGTCTCCTATGGCTGTGTATTGCCCCTATGGTTATAATTGTTACTCATGACTATGGATGGTCCCCCATGGTTATAGATAACCTTTGGTATGGTTAGTCGCAATGGCGAAGGGCGCTTCCCTTCCATAACCATACATGGTTATGGATGCTCCCAGTTATATATGGTTCCTTTGGTTATCGATGGTCACTAAGGCTGTGCATGGTCCCAATAATTGTTGATGGTTCCCAATAATTGTGGATGGTTCCCAATAATTGTGGATGGTTCCCAGGTTATAGTGTTCTCATAGTTATTAATGGTCCCTCATAGTTATGGATGGTCCTCATGGTTGTGGATGGTCCTTATGGTTGTGGATGGTCCTCATGGTTGTGGATGGTCCTCATGGTTGTGGATGGTCCTCATAGTTGTGGATGGTCCTCATGGTTGTGGATGGTCCTCATAGTTGTGGATGGTCCTCATGGTTGTGGATGGTCCTCATAGTTGTGGATGGTCCTCATAGTTGTGGATGGTCCTCATGGTTGTGGATGGTCCTCATAGTTGTGGATGGTCCTCGTGGTTGTGGGTGGTCCTCATGGTTGTGGATGGTCCTCATAGTTGTGGATGGTCCTCATGGTTGTGGATGGTCCTCATGGTTCTGGGTGGTCCTCATGGTTGTGGATAGTCCTCATGGTTGTGGATGGTCCTCATGGTTGTGGATGGTCCTCATGGTTCTGGGTGGTCCTCATGGTTGTGGATGGTCCTCATAGTTGTGGATGGTCCTCATGGTTATAGATAGTTCCAATGATTAAGGATGGATTCCTTAACAGCAGTCCCCGTGGCGTAGTGGTAAAACACTCGCTTAATTGGCGCTTTGCGAGCCCTTTGGCCTGGGTTCGTATCCTGGCCGGGGAGGATTGACTGGGCGCCAATCCTTAACTGTAGCAGCTGCTCATCCAGCAGTGAATGGGTACCTAGTTGTTACACGATTTGGCGGGTCGTATTCAGGGGAAAATTATGATTTAGAACTTGAACGAAACGCTATGCGTGCTAGTGGCTTCACAAGAATGTGTGAACTCTTTTATATAGATAAAATGATCCTGTTTTGCCCGAGACGCTATGCGTGCTAGTGGTTTTACAAGAATGTAAAATCATCATCATTACTATGTACTCTCTTAATGCTGATAAATGTAAAGTTTTGAGGCTAGGTAAAGATGATAGAATTACAAGATACGAGCTAGATGGTGTTGAGATTGCGAAGTCGAATTGCGAAAGGGATCTGGGAGTTATGATTAGTAAGAATTTAAAACCAAAAGATCAATGCATGAATGTTCGTAATAAGGCAAATAGGACACTGGGATTTATTAATCGAAACGTTAGTAACAAGAAACCTGGTGGTGTTCTTCAGCTATGTCTTGCTATAAGGTTAGGCCCCATTTAGATTATGCAGTTCAGTTTTGGTCGCCGTACTTTAGAATGGATATAAATTCACTTGAACATGTCCAGCGTAGGATGACAAAGTTAATTCCCAATCGACTATTTGATTGTTTTCGATCTCGAACCCATTGTTGATGTGATGACTCATATTGAATTTTGTAACTAGCTCATCAAGATTGTAACTTGCTTAGCTAAATGAATTGTTGGGTTCAGTCCCTGAGCCCATTATGTGCCTCTGTAACCCTTTCCACTACCGCCCACAAGATAGGTATGGGGTGCATAATAAATGAACTAAACTAACTCTCTTAACCTCAAATGTACCTTCATGTTTAAATAAATAAATAAAATACCTTTGATATTGCTCGCTTTGGTGCCAACTTTTGATAATTAATTATGGTGCTTTAATTTTTACTAATACGTTGCATATTTTACAGATTGACTCTAAAAAAAATGACGTATCAGATTAGTTGATATGTATGGATGAGGTGTCCCCCCCCTTTATGAATGGGGTGTCCTCCCCCCTTTATGAATGGGGTGTCCTCCCCCCTCTATGAATGGGGTGTCCTCCCCCCTCTGTGAATGGGGTGTCCTTTGCCCTTTATGAATGGGAGGTCCCTCCCTCTTACCTATGGATGGGTTGCCCTCCCCCCATGGATGGGGTAGTCCTATAGTGGTGGGGCCCAAGAACTGGTGGATAACATATTCATAGTGGCGGGGCCCATCTGGCCCCCAACTCCCATAGGGGCGGAACATAAATGCAGCAATACGTTCAGGCAGGAAACCTGAAAGGTGTACACGTCAGTGTACCGTAGAGGTACGGGTGGTGGACGCGTACGCTGTCTTGCCTCTCCGCGCTCTAGCTGTTCGTCAGTACCAGTCTGGTCCTCTCTGTACACTGTACTCCTTCACTATAGCAGCGCTACGTAACTATAGTAGTCCTGCGTCACTACAGCAATCCTGCGTCACTACAGCAATCCTGCGTCACTACAGAAATCCTGCGTCACTACAGGAGTCCTGCGTCATTTGTCACTACAGCTGCCAGACTACAGTAAGTTTTAACATTTTCTTAAATATCACAAATGAGTGTCGTCTTTACATGGCTGAAATTGACGTAACGGTCACTATTAACAGTTACGTGACGTTGGATGGTAACCGTGATTATGGATGGTGCCCCATGGTTATGAATGGTCCTGTATATAAATAAATAATAAGTTTGATATTGCTCGCTTTGGTGCCTGCTTTTGATAATTATGGTAAGTATTTATAGTAATTATGGTTAATTATTATAATTATGAATTGTTCCCTTGGTTATGAATGATACCTATGGTTATGGATGGTTCCCCATTATTATGGATGGTTCCCCATGCTTATGGATGGTTACCCAATGTTATGGATGGTTCCCCGTGGTTATAGCTGGTTTCCCATGATCATAGTTGGTTTTCTATGATTATGGATGGTTCCCGTGGATATAATAGTCCCCATGATTATGGATGCATGGTCCCCATGATTACGCATTGTCCTCATAGTTATGTATGGTTTTCTTGGTTATGGATGGTCCTCATGGTTATGGATGGTCCTCATGGTTATGGATGGTCCTCATGGTTATGGATGGTCCTCATGGTTATGGATGGTCCTCATGGTTATGGATGGTCCTCATGGTTATGGATGGTTCTCATGGTTATGGATGGTTCTCATGGTTATGGATGGTCCTCATGGTTATGGATGGTTCTCATGGTTATGGATGGTCCTCATGGTTATGGATGGTCCTCATGGTTATGGATGGTCCTCATGGTTATGGATGGTCCTCATGGTTATGGATGGTCCTCATGGTTATGGATGGTTCTCATGGTTATGGATGGTTCTCATGGTTATGGATGGTCCCCATGGTTATGGATGGTCCTCATTGATGGTACCAATACCTATGGTTGGTTTCCATGGTTATTGATGGTCCTCAAGATCATGATGGTCCCTCAAGGTTGTTGGTTAGTGTTCAATATTTGTGGATGGTCGCTTAGGTTATAGGTTTCCAATGGATATGGAAATCTGGTTATATATGATCGATGGTTCCCATGGTTATAGAACTCACATGTTTATGGATGGTTCCCATGATTATAGAACTCACATGTTTATGGATGGTTCCCATGATTATAGAACTCACATAGTTATGGATTGTCCCCCATGGTTATAGAACTCGTATGTTTATGGATGGTTACTATGGTTATAGAACTCACATGTTTATGGATGGTCCCCATGGTTATAGAACTCACATGTTTATGGATGGTTACCAAGGTTATAGAACTCACATGTTTATGAATGGTTCCCATGGTTATAGAACTCACATGTTTATGGATGGTTACCATTGTAATAAACTCACATGGTTAGGGATGGTCCCCATGGTTATAAAACACTTGTTTATGGATGGTCCCCATGGTTATAGAACTCACATGTTCGTTTATGGATGGTCCCTATATGGTATAGAACTCATATGGTTATGGATGGTCCCATGTTTATGGATAATTCAAATGGTATTTATCGTATCAATAGGATGGGTGGTATCCATGGTTATGTATGGGAACCCCCCCCCCCCCAATGATTATGGGAGATTTCAGTGCTAATGTGTTTTCCCTTGGTTATTGTTGGTCCCCATTGTGTTGGAAGGTCTCCTATGGCTGTGTATTGCCCCTATGGTTATAGGTGTTACTCATGACTATGGATGGTCCCTCATGGTTATAGATAACCTTTCGTATGGTTAGTCGCAATGGCGAAGGGCGCTTCCCTTCCAAAACCATACATGGTTATGGATGGTCCCAGTTATATATGGTTCCTTTGGTTATCGATGGTCACTAAGACTGTGGATGGTCCCAATAATTGTTGATGCTTCCCAATAATTGTGGATGGTTCCCAATAATTGTGGATGCTTCCCAATAATTGTGGATGGTTCCCAATAATTGTGGATGGTTCCCAATAATTGTGGATGATTCCCAATAATTGTGGATGGTTCCCAATAATTGTGGATGGTTCCCAATAATTGTGGATGGTTCCCAGGTTATAGTGTTCTCATAGTTATTAATGGTCCCTCATAGTTATGGATGGTCCTCATGGTTGTGGATGGTCCTCATGGTTGTGGATGGTCCTCATAGTTGTGGATGGTCCTCATGGTTGTGGATGGTCCTCATAGTTGTGGATGGTCCTCATGGTTGTGGATGGTCCTCATGGTTGTGGATGGTCCTCATGGTTGTGGATAGTCCTCATGGTTGTAGATAGTTCCAACGGTTAAGGATGGATTCCTTAACAGCAGTCCCCGTGGCGTAGTGGTAAAACACTCGCTTGGCGCTTTGCGAGCCCTTTGGCCTGGGTTCGTATTCTGGCCGGGGAGGATTGACTGGGCGCCAATCCTTAACTGTAGCAGCTGCTCATCCAGCAGTGAATGGGTACCTGGTTGTTACACGATTTAGCGGGTCGTATTCAGGGGAAAATTATGATTAAGGACTTGCCCGAAACGCTATGCGTGCAGGTGGATGTTCAAGGATTTGAGAACTCTTGTGTGCGCGCGTGTGTGTGTGTGTGTGTGTGTGTGTGTGTGTATATATATATATATATATATATATATATATATATATATATATATATATATATATATATATATATATATATATATATGTTTCATTGAATATGACCGCATATTCTGTATTTATTATTTTCTGGTTTAGGGCTTCTATCCCTCTAACTATTTTCTTAGCATCAGGGCTTAATTGAAATAGGAGTTCTCCAAAACTCATTTTCGTACTTTTATGGTGAAGAAAAGAAGTGATTTACTAGAGTGTATTACACTTATTTGTATAATTTGCACGACGTTTCGAACCTCCATGGTTCATTCTCAAGTGAACAGATCTTACAATACTAGTTGATTTTATACCCGCATTAGGTCAGGTGATAATACAATGAAGGTGAAAACATGGGGGGATACATAAGGGATAAACATAGGGGCTGCAGAAGGCTTATTGGCCCATACGAGGCATCTCCTATCTAAACACAAAGATTAATCCAGTGTAATTGGCCTGTTATGTTGGACATTGTCTTCTGTGTTGGCATCGATATGTTCTTGTCTTGTCCTTACTCTCATGGTGGGAAGAGTAAATAGTTCCGTGATTTGGGTGTTCATGGTAGGTCGCTCTATTCTTATGTGAATTGCCTCAAGAATTTGTAATCTTCTTGAATCTTGGGTTTTGTCTATTATGCAAGTATTCTTGTTCAACATTTCTCTTGTTAGAGTAATGTCATGGGCTTGTCTCATGTGATTCCTAGGGGCACCAGATTGAAGATGGCATGTCAAACGCCTCGTCAGCTTGGTCGACGTCATACCTATGTACTTACATTGAAGGTTACATCCTTCGTGGGGGCAAGTGTACATGTATACAACGCTTGACTGCTGTAGAGGGTTCTCCGTCGGCTTCGGTCTGTTTTTGATAAGGAGTTCGGAAGTCTTCTTGGTTTTGTAGAATATTATCAGGTTTATGTTTTGGTTAGGAGTAGTGCTTTTTACTCCTTTACGGATTATTTCTTTCATTATTCTTTCCTCTTTTATATGTTCACTGTGCATGGTTGATTTGTAATATAATTTTATTGGGGGTGTTGTGGTTTCTGTTCTAAGTTCTGAATTATACCAACGGTCCAAGTGTCTTCTTATAGCAGCGTTTATTTCCGCGTTGCTATATCCGTTGTTCACCAATACCTGAGTTACTCTTTCAAACTCTCTACTCACGTTGCTCCATTCAGAGCAGTGGGTAAGCGCTCGACGAATATAAGCATTGAGAACACTGGCTTTGTATCTTTGGGGGCACTCACTTCTACCGTTCAGGCATAATCCTATGTTGGTGGGCTTGGTATATACGTTGGTGCTTAAAGAGGTTCCTGTTTTTGTTATTAGTACATCCAAGAATGGCAGACTGTTATTTTTACTATTTTCATGTGTAAATCGGAGTACTGACTCTCTCTCTAGGTGTCTTTTTAGGTCAATTAGTTCATCTGAGTCTTTTACTATTACGAATATGTCATCTACATAACGGCAGTATACAGTTGGTTTTTGTCTGCTACTGAAGACCCTATCTTCGATGGTTCCCATATAAAAATTAGCAAATAAAACTCCTAAGGGGGAGCCCATTGCTACTCCGTCTATTTGTAAATACATGTCTCCTTGTGGACTGATGAAAGGGCTTCCTTTGTACATGCTTCGAGAAGACTTTTCAAGTGTGGCTCTGGTATGTCTAATTTGGGGGTGCTCTCGTCTCTGTATACTCTGTCCAGTATCATTCCTATGGTTGTGTCGACTGGGACGTTGGTAAAAAGGGATTCAACGTCCAGGGAAGCGATGATTCCATCGGGCTGGGTAGATTTGATCAATTCTAGGAAATCTGCTGATGATTGTAGACTAAACTTACTTGGAGTGTATGGAGTTAGGAGTTCATTGAGTTTCTTTGCCAGGTGATAAGTTGGGGTTGGTATTTGGCTGATTATAGGGCGTAGTGGGTTACCTGGTTTATGCGTCTTAACATTGCCGTAGGCATATCCTAAGCCATAGTCGCCTTGAAGTTTATTGAAATGCACACTACCTTTCTTTGCGTTGATTGCTGTAATTGTTTTGTTTACTTTCCGCTTAAGGTCTTCTACGGGGTTCCTCGTGATTCGTTGAAATTTGGAGTCGTCACTTAGGATGTCGCTAATTTTGTTCATGTATTCATGGGTTGGAATCAATACATATGCTGCTGTTTTGTCGGCTTTTTGCTAATTTTTATATGGGAACCATCGAAGATAGGGTCTTCAGTAGCAGACAAAAACCAACTGTATACTGCCGTTATGTAGATGACATATTCGTAATAGTAAAAGACTCAGATGAACTAATTGACTAAAAAGACACCTAGAGAGAGAGTCAGTACTCCGATTTATACATGAAAATAGTGAAAATAACAGTCTGCCATTCTTGGATGTACTAATAACAAAAACAGGAACCTCTTTAAGCACCAACGGATATACCAAGCCCACCAACATAGG